ATTCTCCTGCCTCAGCCTGTTGAGAAGTTGAGACTACAGGCGCGCGCCACCACGCCTGGCTAATTTTTGTATTTTTAGTAAAGACAGGGTTTCACCATATTGGTCTGTCTGGTCTTGAACTCCTGACCTGGTGATCCACCCACCTCAGCCTCCCAAAGTGCTGGGATTACAGGCATGAGCCACGACGCCTAGCCCAGCATACAGATCTATAAGGTGAACCTTAGAGGCTCATTATCCCCTATCTTATGTTATGAACGAAACTTCAAAAAGCAACACAGGGGCCGGGCTCACACTTGTAATCCCAGCACTTTGGGAGGCCGAGGCGAACACAAGGCCAATCACAAGTTCAGGAGTTCGAGACCGGCCTGGCCAACACAGTGAAACCCCATCTCTACTAAAAATACAAAACTGAGCTGGACATGGTGGTGGGCGCCTATAATCCAAGCTACTCAGGAGGCTGAAGCAGGAGAATCGCTTGAACCCAGGAGGCGGAGGTTGCAGTGAGCCGAGATTGCACCACTGTACTCCAGCCTGCCGTCTAAAACAAAACAAAACTAAACAAAAGCAGCACAGGTCACAAGCTCACTGAGTGAGGCACTTCTAAATGTATCAGGGAAAAGATAGCTATTGACAGCTGACTTCGGGGTGGATTTGTACAATTTCAATCTGCAAGCTGCAGGACCTTTCTAAGTCTCTCTCACGTGAATATCAATAGCGTTGCCTAAATATTAAATGCTTTTTCTTCAACCCAGATAATGGGGTCATTCATAAATTAAACTGATAACAACCTTTCCATTCCCATGTTCACAAACACTACATGTGGTAGAACCAAAGATACTAGGCAATTATTCTGAGATCAGATTAAAAAATAATTACTGTCATAAAAAAGTTACAGAACCATTTGTTCCAATGCCAAACTCTGCCTCAGCATATGAAATTTAAAGTAACCAAAAACTTAGTCTCACCTGGGAAGGGAAATCAAAGTGACATTTGAACCCAAGTTCAATGACAACACGTCCTTCAACTTCAAAGCGAGTGCTTTATTCATTCAGAGTTTTAACAGCACAGTATCCCATAGCATACACAAAATCTCCTAAGGCGTACATTATGATAAAGTTCCTGACTGCTTGTGAATTATATTTAGCCCTTTCTGCCAGCTCTCTCCCTGGTCTCCCACCCCCCAAAGGTATAACTGGAATAGGCCTCAGGGAGCACCTGTGGCCTGAAAAGGCTGTGACCAATCTCAAAGCTTTCCCGGCTGCAGTCTACAAGTAGGTTCGACCATTCTATTTTGGATTAAGGAGACTCTGCCAACCCCCAAGTGACCGCAAGTGGACAAGATCAATTTGGGAGAACACGCTGTGAGGGTTTCTTCGCCAAGCCAGCAGCCCCCACAGCCAGACTGCGAAAAGGGTGAAGATTTGGTCACCATCCAGGCGGCGAAATAATACGGCCGGGCTGTCTGGGGGTTCACGACTGCCCGATCCCACAGCCTGGGCCGGGCTGTGGTGTCGGGAGCACGCGAAGAGGCAAGGATCCCCGGGGCACGCGAGAGGGAACCAGAGCGAGGTTAGGAGCCTGCAGGTGTCGCCCAGGAAGGGGACGAGGTCGCCCAGGGCTGGCACGGCCGAGTGAGACCGAGAGTGTGGTTCTGGACTCGGAGAGACCGGTCACACTCTCGGGTTGTGACCTTGAGCACACGACTTGACCGCTGTGGGCCTCAGTTTCCTCCTCTCTAAAATGGGGGTCGTTCAAGCGGAAAACGCGCCTCGGAGCGCTTGGCACGGCGCCTGGCGCATAGTAAGCGCTCCCTCCATGTGAGCGCTCTGGCTCCTTTCGCCGCCGGGAGGAACTGGGGAAGCCCCGCGCGGGGAGTCCCCGGGAGGCGGATCCGAGGCTGGGGCGAGGGAACCGGGCCGGGGACTCACCCAGCACGTCCGCGGAACGGTGTCGGGCCACGAAGCACGCGTCGTCCCCGTAGCACGCGCCCTTCTTGAGAAGGCCCTTACGGAAGTCCTTGCCGAAGCCGCAGCCGGCCGTCACCAGCCCGTAGTC